GGTGGATCTCCTGAGGTCGGAAGTTCAAGACCAGCTGGACAAAGATGGTAAAACCCTGTCTCTACTAAAACTACAAAAATTGGCCAGGCATGGGTGGCAGGCACCTGTAATCCCAGCTACTCAGGAGGCTGAGGCTGGGGAATCGCTTGAACCCCGGAGGCAGAGGTTGCAGTGAGCTGAGATTGCACTACTGCACTACAGTCTGGGCGACAGAGTGAGACTCCGTCAAAAAAAAAAAAAAAGAAGAAGAAGAAGAAAGAAGAGGATATAGAAGAAGAAATTGTTTCTGAGTGGCCATGAAGAGTAGGAAGAAAACCCAACCTACCTCTTGCTGGGTCTAGAGGGAAAATGTTGATTAAGGCAGAGAAGGTCTTCCAAGAGAGACTAGGTTTAGTGAGTAAGCGATTTGAAAGCTAGAAGGAAAGGAAGATATTGAAGGTACTCTTACTGCATAATCTATAACCCCAAAACTTTAGTGCTTTAAATAACAATCTGGTTTTTTTTTTCATGGTCTGGGAGTTGACTGGGTTGAGGTAGGTGATTTTCACTCAGGGTCTCTCATGCTGTTGCAGCGGCTGGGGCTGGAGTCATCGCAAAGCCTTCTTCAGTCTCACGTCTGGCAACTGATGTTGACTGTCATCTGAAACCTGTGCTGGGACTGTGGATTGGAAGATCAAGATGTGGCCTCTCCCTGTGATCTGGGCTTCCACACAGCATGGCAACTGTGGATAGAACCGAGGCCATATCCTCAGTGAAATAACTTAGAAACAAAGTCAAATACTGATGGTTCTCATGTGTGGGAGTTAAACAATAGGTACACAGGAGGAAAAATAGACACTGAAGACTCCAAAAGATGGGAGGAGGGCGAGGGGTGAATATTCTATTGAGTACAATGTTCACTATTTGGTCATGGCTACACTCAAAGCCCAGACCTCAGCGCTCCACAATAAAACCTGCACCTGTACCTGCTAAATAGATCAAACATTTTGTCCGTTTTATTTATTAAAAAATTCAACTGGCTAGATGGAGTGGCTCACACCTGTAATCCCAACACTTTGGGAGGCCAAGGCAGGTGAATCAACTGAGGTTGGGAGTTTGAGAACAGCCTGACAATATGACAAAACCTTTTCTCTACTAAAAATACAAAAATTAGCCAGCCTGTGGTGACATGCACCTGTACTCCCAGCTACTCATGAGGCTGAAGCAGGAGAATCACTTGAACCCAGGAAGCAGAGGTTACAGGGAGCTGAGATGGCATCATTGCATTCTAGCCTGGATGACAGATTAAGACTCCATCTCAGGGGAGAAAAAAATGAACTTTTGGCTGACTATGGTGGCTCATGCCTGTAATCCCAGCACTTTGGGAGGCTGAGGCAGGCTGATCACTTGAGGTCAGGAGTTTGAGACCAGCCTTGCCAACAGGGTGAAACCTTGTTTCCATTAAAAATACAAAAATTGGCCAAGCATGGTGTTGCACACCTGTAATCCCAGCTATTCAGGAGATTAAGGCAGAAGAATCAGTTGAGCCCAGTAGGCAGATGTTGCAGTGAGCCAAGATTATGTCACTGCACTCCAGCCTAGATGACAGAGCAAGACTCTGTCTCAAAAAGAAAAAAAAATTCAACTTTTATTTTATTATTATTTTTGAGACAGGGTCTCACTCTGTTGCCCAGGCTGGAGTGCAGTGGTGTGATCATAGCTCACTGTAGCCTTGACTTCCTGGGCTCAAGCAATCCTTACCTCAGCCTGCTGAGTAGTTGGGACTACAGGTACATACCACCATGCCTGGCTAATTTGTGTGTGTTTGTGTGTGATGAAGTTTCATCTTACTGTCCAGACTGGAGTAAAATGGCTTGATCTTGGCTTGCTCAAACCTCCACCTCATGGGTTCAAGCGATTTCTGCTGCCTCAACTTTCCTGAGTAGCTGGGATTACAGTCATGTACCATCATGCCTGGCTCATTTTGTATTTTTATTTTTTGTAGAGATAGGGTTGCTATGTTGCTCAGGCTGGTTTGTAACTCCTGGCCTCAAGTGATCATCCCACATTGGCCTCACAAAGCATTGGAATTATAGGCATGAGCCACTGTGCTCCACCACAAAACACTTTTTTTTTTAAGATGGAGTTTTGCCTCTTGCTACCCAGGCTGGAGTGCAGTGGCACAATCTTGGCTCACTGAAAACTCTGCTTCCCACGTTCAAGCAATTTTCCTGCCTCAGCCCCTTGAGTAGCTGGGATTACAGGCATGCACCACCACACCTGGCTAATTTTGCATTTTTCATAGAGAGGGAGTTTCTCCATGTTAGTCAGGCTGGTCTCGAACTCCTGTCCCCAGGTGATCTGCCTGCCTTGGCCTCCCAAAGTGCTGGGATTACAGGCATGAGCCACCATGCCCAGTCTAGAAAACACACTTTTAAAAGTTTTCATCTTTTTTTTTCTGGAGTGGTGAAATAATTAATCTCTGTGGTGAAGACTTCCTTTTTATTTGGGAAAATATATTTGCTGTGGGCCTATTGTTTGTGAAAAGATACCAATAGCTAACATTATTTGAGTGTCCAGTCATTCATTCATTCATTCAAAATATATATACTGGGGCAGGTATAGCGGCTTATGCCTATGATTCCAGCACTTTGAGAGGCTGAGGCAGGTGGATCACTTGAGATCAGGGGTTCAAGACAAGCCTGGCCAACTCGGTGAAACCCCACTTCCTCTAAAAATACAAAAATTAGCCAAGTGTGGTGGTGCGTGCCTGTAGTCCTAGCTACTTGGGAGGCTGAGGCAGGAGAGTTACTTGAACCTGGGAGGCAGAGGTTGCAGTGAGCCAAGATTGTGCCCTGTGCTCCAGCCTGGGTGACAGAGTGAGACTGTCTCAAAAAAAAAAGAGAGAGCCAACTTCGAGAGGTGTGGTTGGCCAAGACACTCCAACTGCTACACACTTGGGCCCACCACAGGCTTCATGCTGAGGCATGCTCTTCCCAGGCTGTGCCAGCCAATGGCTCTGCATGCCATAAATTCCAGATTCAGGCCATTCCTGCCTTACAAACAGCTCCTATGTGGACAGCCTTCTCTGGGCTCTCCATAGAGCTTTCAAACAGTTGTCAGACCTGCACTGTGGTCAGTACGCTCTCCATGAATATTCGTTTTGTTTATTTATTTTATTTATTTATTTTGAGATGGAGTTTCACTCTTGTTACCCAGGCTGGAGTGCAATGGCACAATCTCGGCTCACCACAACCTCCGCCTCCTGGGTTCAGGCAATTCTCCTGCCTCCGCCTTCTGAGTAGCTGGGATTACAGGCACGCACCACCGTGCCCCCCTAATTTTTTGTATTTTTAGTAGAGACGGGGTTTCACCATGTTGACCAGAATGGTCTCGATCTCTTGACCTTGTGATCCACCCGCCTCGGCCTCCCAAAGTGCTGGGATTACAGGCGTGAGCCACCGCGCCCGGCCCTATTTATTTTATTTTTATTTTTATTTTAGATAGGATTTGGAGTGCAGTGGCTAGATCATGGTTCACTGCAGCCTCCACCTCCTGGGCTCAAGCAATCCTCCCACCTCGGCCTCCCAAGTAGCCAGGACTACACACCCATACCACTATATCCAGCTAATAATTTTATTTTTTTGTAGAGACAGGGTCTCACCATGTTGGCCAGGCTGGTCTTGAACTCCTGGCCTCAAGTGATCCTCCTGCCTTCGCTTCTCAAAGTGCTGGGATTATAGGCATGAGCCATGTTGTCCATCCATGCCTTTTTAAAATACTTTTTAAGAAAAATTTTTTATCATTATTTTTTTGAGACAGAGTCTCGCTCATTCTGTCACCCAGGCTGGAGTGTAGTGGCATGATCTCAGGTCACTGCAACCTCCCCCTCCTGAGTTCAAGCGATTCTCCTGCCTCAGCCTCCCAAGTAGCTGGGATTACAAGCACCCACAGCCACACCAGGCTAGTTTTTGTATTTTTAGTAGAGATGGGGTTTCGCCATGTTGTCCAGGCTGGTCTCAAAGTCTGGACCTCAGGTAATCTGCCTGCCTTGGCCTCCTTAAGTGCTGGGATTACAGGTGTGAGCCACCTCATCCGGCCCATCCATGCTTATTCTTGCTCCCGCTTTCTTTTATTCTTCACAGGCTTTTTTTTTCCCCCTGTCAATTTCTTGCACATCAAATTTCACCTTGGCCTCTGCTTCTTGTGTGATGGAACGGAACTGGGATCAGCTCGCCTGTTTCCTCCTTTGCTCATTGTTCTCTTGTGGCACAACGGCTACCAGGAGTACCCTTCCTGCAGTGTAGGAAGTAAAAAATTGTGTTGCTGAAAGTGCCTTTGTCTCAGTGCTGATTTTTCTTTGCGGTACCGAGAATCTATTTTCAACACTACCCGAGGCCAGGAGTTTGAGATCATCAGCCTAGGCAATATAGCAAGACACCGTCTATGCGAAATTTAAGAAAATTAGTCAAGCATAGTGGTGCAGACCTGCAGCTGGGATTACAAGCAGGCGCCACCACGCCCAGCTAATTAGTAGAGACAGGGTTTCACCCTATTGGTCAGGCTGGTCTCAACCTCCTGACCGCGTCATCCGCCTGCCTTGGCCTCCCAAAGTGCTGGGATTAGAGTCATGAGCCACTGTATCTGGCCCCAAACTGTTTTTGTTACAAATAGGGTCTCCCTCTGTCACCCAGGCTGGAGTGCAGTGGCACAATCATAGCTCATTGCACCCTTGAACTCGGCTCAAGCAGTCCTCCCACTTAACCTCCCGTGGAGCTGGGACCACAGGAACTTTTCTACTTCCCACAATTCCCTCCTCTTTTACTTTATAGTTTTCCTTTTGAAACCTTTTTAAACATATTTTGGCCTAGTTGATCTGCCTGAGTTTTTGAAAGAAGAAGTTTCTCTTTTCTCTTTACACTATTTCCAGGCCCCGCCCCCTCCCAGGCTCCGCCCCTCACGCGCGCTGGGCTGTGCCGCCTCAGTCTCCGCTGGCCAATCCAGCCTCCCTTGCGGTTGCGCGCCCCGTCCCCTCCTTCGGCGCTTGCGCGCGTCTTCCCCCGCGCCTCCTTCCTCACGCCTTTCCGGGCAGCTAGGCGGTAGGTGTGTGGGTACCGGGCCTGGAGCAAGCAACCGAGCCATTGGTGGGCTGCGGCGGTGGTGGGGTCGGCGGCGGCGGCAGCAGAGCGGGAGAAGGAGTGGGACCCCGAGCACGGGGCCCTCTTCAACCTGGGGCCCTGGGTGAAGTGCTCTGCCGCCCTTGCCTCCAGGTAGCTGGCTGGGGAGTGGGCTGGGAGCGGCCGCGGGGGGCAAGGGTGGAGGCTGGGGGTGGGGAGCGCAAAGCGGGAGCTCAGGCCTGGGGTCGGTGGGGACCGGGCCGCGGGGGATCGGGCGGGGCGGGAGGCGGTGGCTGGGCGCTCCTGCCCCAGGGGCAGCCCAAGCCCAGGCTGCGCTGCGAAGGTGATGGGGGCCTGAAGGTCACCAGGGAGGGACGAGGTGACAATGCAGTCGGGAGGCTGGGGCCGTCGGGTGCGGTCGGACGGGCGGGGGCCGCGCTGGGCTGGAGCGCGAGGGTCTGAGGCGGGTGGATCCCAGCCGGCCTGACAGATTTCCTAATTCTCGGGAGGCGGGCCGGGGGTGTGGGACCTTGTCCGCTGCACCCGCGAGGCCAGCGGCCCCCTTTTGCCCCCCATCGCTGCAGCCGAGGCTTTGGGGCCTGCGCCGACTGAGGGTCTTCCTGGTGCTAGGACGGGTGTTTCTGTGGTCAGGCCTCTTTGTACTCCAGCGCTAGTAAGAATTTGCAGACTTCCTGAGACCGTGACATTTGCGGGCAAACATGAATTTGACACTACTCTGGAAGAAGATACCAGCACTTATCGTATCTGATTTCTTTGATTTCCCCTCGTATATTTCATTGTGCCAGCAGGGGGAAATGGTGTGAGTTTGGGTCTGAGTTTAAGCTTCATGGGAGTAAAGGCCAAGTATGTTATGTGGGTGGTGGTGTTTTAGGCATTGGCACGACTTAAACGTTGTTGCTTATTAGTGTAATAGGATACCACCAACAGATTAAAAACACACGCTTTACTAAACTTGAGCGATTTGTGTGTGTTACTGATCATTTTAGTTTTTTTTTAATGTTGTAATTTGTTGGTTACATTTTATTTTAATGCATTAAATTTTCCTAGGCAAGTTACTTTGTTTATTTCGACTCATATTGTTGATTACATGAACAAGGTAGCATTGGAGTTTGTCTTGTTATTGGTTACAAATTTCAGGGTGGTGATCTTTCCACTTAGCTTTTTCATGGACCAGATATTCTATCTCATTTGCTCTTAAACTAAAATCCTGTAGCTTTTTACAGGGAAAACGCATTTAAAATGTAGGTATTAGTTTACAGAGGAAAATACCTAGATGTGACAAAAAGCTCACATTTGTTGTTGGTGTAAATTCCGAACCAAGTTAGTAGGCTGATTAGACTCTCAGATACCCTTTGAGAAACATTAAGTATCTTTTATGCAAAATTTTGTTATTTCCACTTTGAGAAAGGGCTTGTAAACTCGTAAGTGCCTTCCACCTGAAGTTAGTTGAATGAATAAATATATAAGGAAAACATGGTGCAGCAGCACATTTCAAGTATTTAAGAAACAAGAACTAAAAATAATTTTGATCCTAGGTTAATATGGAATTTAAGCAGAATTATGATCAATTTTAGATTTTCTTTTGAAACAAGTAGTCTAAAATAAATGGTTCTTTTAACATTGGGGCATGGAAGGAGTACTTTACTGTATGCTTAAGTTCTTAAAATTGACTTTCTTTAAAAAAGAGAGTTTTGAACCATTTAATAAGCATACATTCTAAATATTCTCATAGTTACAGATCCTGCAAGAGCTGCATGTTTGTGCATCATAAAACATCAAGAAGTATGTTAAAAGCGTATGTAAGTACATGTAAGACTAAAGGTAACTGGATCTCTATAGTTTTAAATGTGAATTTAATACGTTGTGACTGAAAGTGTTTCAGTGTGTAGCTGTGGACATAAAATAGTTTAACTTAGATGCTTGTTAAAAGATAGGTAAAAGTAAGATATGCTATTAAGAGTAAATAACTTACCTGCTATCTATACAGTGAAATTATTTTAAGAAATTTGTTCAGTTTGATCAGCCTGTTTATCAAAAATCAGCCTGTTACTTGTTTGCAAAAATCAAGTAGTTTATAAGCTACTCATTTAATAAATGAATTTACAGGTCAACTTATTTTGGAAATCGTTTATAAACAGGCTGATCAAAATCACATGCATGTATGCATATATAATCACATATATACATATATAGATGAATTTTCTTTTGGCTGTAGGTAGACAAACATTGAAAGTTTTTATTTTGTCTAGCTGAAAGAGACTTTAAATGAAAGCTGATTACTGGTCAGCTCAAGTTAGTTTATTTTGAGTAGTGATTGCCATGTAGCAGTACTACTCAAAGATGTGACTCTTAGGGAATGAAAGTTTGATCCCAGGCCGGGCGCGGTGGCTCATGCCTGTAATACCAGCACTTTGGGAGGCCGAGGTAGGCGGATCACCTGAGGTTGGGAGTTTGAGACCCGCCTGACCAACTTGGAGAAACTGGGTTTCTACTAAAAATACAAAATTAGGTGGGTGGGTGTGGTGGTGCATGCCTGTAATCCCAGCTACTCAGGAGGCTGAGGCAGGAGAATTGCTTGAACCTGGGAGATGGAGGTTGCGGTGAGCCAAGATCCACCACTGCACTCCAGCCTGGTCAACAAGAACGAAACTTCGTCTCAAAAAAAAAAAAGAAAAAGAAGAAAAGTTTGAGCCTAGAGAAAAGTTAACAGATGAAGATTCTGAAGAAAGCCCTCTTCCAGGATCCAGAGTCAGCACGTGGCTTTGGATTGCTTCTACTCAACTTGATTCTTATTTCACAATCCCCAAATGTCCTAATCCAAACAGAATAAGGTAGAGGTTAAAGAGAGAATCTTGAGGGCATGTATTATCTGTGTGTAAAGTCCCCTATTATTTTTGGGGCCATCATGATGTAAAGGGCCAGACTTTTAGATTTCTAAAGAAATATTTTCCCAAAATAAGGCTACAATCGAAATGCTGATTTGTTTTATTTCTTTTTTGAGACAGAGTCTTGCTCTGTCGCCAAGCTGGAGTACAGTGGTATGCTCTCAGCTCACTGCAGGCTCTGCCTCCTGGGTTCAAGTGATTCTCCTGTGTGAGCTTCCTGAGTAGCTTGGATTACAGGTACATGCCATCACACCCAGTTAATTTTTGTATTTTTAGTAGAGACAGGGTTTCATCATGTTGGCCAGGATGGTTTCGATCTGTTGACCTCATGAGCCACCGTGCCTAGCCTGCCTGATTTTTTATTTCTACCAGGTACAGCCAATAAAAACACAAATATGACACCACTGTCTCCGTCACCGTCATTTCATTTAACAAAAGGATATTTTCACTCAAACAGTTGGAAAGAACAGAATCAGAATAAATTTTATTTTTTATTTTTTTGAGATGGAGTCTTGCTCTTTCGCCAGGCTGGAGTGCAGTGGGATGATCAGTCTTGGCTCACTGCAACCTCCGCCTCCTTGGATCCAGTGATTCTTCTGCCTCAGCTTCCTGAGTAGCTGGGACTACAGGCGTGCACCACCATGCCCAGCTAATTTTTATATTTGTAGTAGAGACAGGGTTTCACCATGTCGGCCAGGATGGTCTCGGACTCTTGACCTCGTGATCTGCTTGCCTCGGTCTCCTAAAGTGCTAGAATTACAGGCATGAGCCACTGCACCCAGCCAGAATAAAGTATCTTTAAATGGAATCATTTAGTTATATTGAAAAGTTTACTTTCAGACCAGCCTGGCTAACATGGTGAAACCCTGTCTCTACTAAAAATATAAAATTAGCATGGTGACATGCACCTGTAATCCCAGCTACTCTGAAGGCAGAGGTAGGAGAATCACTTGAATCCAGGAGGTAAAGGTTGCAGTAAGCAGAGATGGTGCCATTGCACTCCAGCTGGGCTACAGGAGTGAAACTACGTTTCAAAAAAAAAAAAAAATTATTTTGTGTCGTTACTTTTCCCCATTTTCTCATAAATCAATGAAAATTCTGCTGCAAACTTACACCAGCCTGCCAGCTAACATTATGTTAGTCCTCCCTGCCCCCTTGGTTTGTTATACTGAGCTCAAATCTAAGGGATGGGATGGGGTGGGGGTGGGGGTGCTTCCAGCTCTCCCAGTTCTTAAACTTGTGGCCTTATATTCATGGTTGCACAGTTTCTTAGGTTAAATAGGCATTTTTATACCTACTTAGGAGTTGGCTCACACCTGTAATCCCAGCACTTTGGGAGGCTGACACACTTGGCAGATCTCTTGAGCTCAGGAGTTTCAGACCAGCCTGGGCAACAAGGTAAAACCCTGTCTCAAAAAAAAAAATACAAAAATTAACCGGGCATGGTGGTGCATGCCTTTAGTTCCAGCTTCTTGGGAGGCTGAGGTCACTGTGGAGTGAGCCATGATTGTGCCACTGCACTCCAGCCTGGGTGGTAGAGAGAGATCCTGTCTCATCATACAAACAAACAAAGCTACTTTGCCAGATGAATATTAGGATGAAAAGTGATTACATATACGTTCCTGAAATAAAGTCTGTCCTCACTTCTAGCTGTTACCATTGATTGGAGATGTTACTTTTTTTTCAGTGTTTGATAATAAATGCCTTTAAATATAATAAGTTTCTTGTATATAGTCATTTATATGTTTAAATGTTCATTGTTTTAATGTATTTTATTGCTGATCATGGCATAGCCTAAAGATGTGTTCATTTAAAACCCTTGAAGTTGTGCAAGAGAAACTAATATGCAGAATTTTTTTTTTTTTTTTTTTTTGAGATAAAGTCTTGCTCTGTTAACCAGGCTGGAGTGCAGTGGTACAATCTTGGCTCACTCGAACTTCTGCCTCAGGGTTCAAGTGATTCTCCTGCCTCAGCCTCCCACGTAGCTGGGATTACAAGCACCCACCACCATGCCCGGCTAATTTTTGTGTTTTTAGTAGAGACGGGTTTTCACCATGTTGGCCAGGCTGGTCTTGAACTCCTGACCTCAGGTGATCTGCCCCCCTCAGCCTCCCAAAGTGCTGAGATTACCAGCATCAGCCACCATGCCCAGCCCTAATATGCAGAATATTGTATGTAGGTATTTCCTATGTATTAGACCCCCTCTCAGAAGGGTTTCTATGTAAGAATAGTACAAATGATCTGGAAAGGTTAATAGGCTTGACAAATTTATGTTTCTTATAAAAGTAGTCTGGCTGTCCTATGGTATATGCATAGGACATACCATATGGGGTTGGTTCCAGGACCCCTATTTCTACCAAAATCCTGGCATACTCAAGTCCCTGCTGTGGGCCCTGCAGATCCTGGGTATGTGAAAAGTTAGGCCTCCATATATGCAGGTCTGCATTTAGCTGAAAAAGATTCACATATAAATGGGCCCACGCAGCCCAAACCCATGCTGTTCAAGGGTCCACTGTATTTGAAAATAAAGGCCACAGAAAACTTGCCTTGTTTTAAAAAATGTTGGATTAGTACCTCTCTCATATCTTAAAAAACAGTACTATCTATTTACTACCCCATTGATATAATACAACTTTTAGAATAGAACCTAGGGCCAGGTGTGGTGGTTCACATCTGTAATCCCAGCACTTTGGAAGGCAGAGGTGGGCAGATCACCTGAGGCCAGGAGTTTGAGACCAGCCTGACCAACATGGTGAAACCCCATCTCTACTAAAAATATAAAATATTACCTGGGTGTGGTGGTGTGGCCCATAATCCCAGCTACTCCTGAGGCTGAGGCAGGAGAATCACTTGAACCCTGGAGGTGGAGGTTGCAGTGAGCCGAGTTCATGCCACTGCACTCCAGCCTGGGTAACGAGCAAAACTTCATGTCCAAAAAAAAGAAAAATTAAAAGAGCCAGGCATGGTGTTGGGTGCCTGTGATAGCTACTCAGGAGACTAAGGCAGGAGAATCACTTGAACCCAGGAGGTGAAGGCTGCAGTGAGCTGAGATTGCACCATTGCACTCCAGCCAGCACATCAAGAGCAAAACTCTATCTCAAAAAAAAAAAAAAAAAGACCCTAGAAGTATTTATTATTGCTCATTGCTTTGTCTGAGACTCAGAGGTTAAGCAACTTGCCCAAGATAGCACAGGTAGTAGCAAACTGAGACTTGACACCTGGCTTCTAGAGTCCTTATTTAGAATCTCCTCTGCACCCCCATTGTAAAAATTAAATCTTGTCTAGGTAATGCATTTGTTGCTTCGGGTTTGAAAGATAACACGGCATGTACAGTGAAAAGTCTTCACATCCTTTCCCCCAAACAGACAGTTCTCCCTGTCAGTAGGCCGCTGTGAAACTTTTCAGAACCATTTGACACATAGCCAGGCATCTATATGACTGTATTATTTCTCCCCCTTTTTTTTAACAGGAGCGTATCATGTATGTGTTCTGATAGCCTGCTTTGGCTTGGCATTTGTTCCATTACTCCTGTACTTTAAATGCTTGCATTTATATTTAGTGAAATGTTAATAACTGCGAGGTCATAAAAGAGAATTTGTTTTGACTAGCCAAGATGAATTTAAGAAATAAAATTTCTAAAATTGTCATCATTTCTTGGTATGGAAATTTTAGAAGCAGGTTGAACTGAAAAGAGTCCAAGGGGAATAGAGAAATATCACAAAGAAGTGAATCTGGACTGTAGCAGAGATAAATGTTAATACTTTCAGATAATACTGTGTGCTAGGCAGTGGTCTAAATGCTTTACATATATTATTAAAGTCTCACAACAGTCCCATGAGGCAGGTAGCTTTTACCACCATTTTACAGATGAGTAAACTGAGCCACACAAACTAACACGTGATTCAGGTAGTACA